ACATTGAAGTCAACACTAAGAGGCGACAGGCTGTTTTATGCTAGACGCAATCGTCAGGCCTGACGATTGCATCTAGCATGAAACAGCACATTTTTATGTTTATACCTTCTTTTTTTGTAGATACAAGTGTTTAAGTAAATGCTCTGTTTATATTAAACAGTATTAAACAACATTTACGGGCCTGAATGTCAGAGAAATTTTCATAGAAAATATTCGTCCTCCGACAGGAATCGAACCTGCATCCTATACGGAACCGATATATAGCGTGACTTGCCTTTTAACATTCAGGCCGGTAAATGTTGTTTAATACTGTTTATTATAAAACAGAGCATTTACTTAAATTTACTTATATTTTTTATGTTTATACGTCCTTTTTTATGGATACAAGTATTTAAGTAAATGCTCTGTTTATAATAAACAGTATTAACGACATCTACCGGGCTGAATGTCCGAGAAATTTTCATAGAAATCGAACCTGTATCCTATACGGAACATGCCATATAGCCTGACGTGCTTTTACCGATTGAGCCACGGAGGAGAGTTTCGGTTAGCAAGGTCAATTTTACTGTTTGTAAACTACAATTATCCATGATTTTCTATCGTACATTCATATCTGCTCGATGCGTATCCAAATGTAAACAAATGACGTCACACATTATGAAATGGACAAAGTCCGAAAATTATTTTAAGACATTTTTTATGTTTATACGTTCTTTTGTATCTATAAAAAGGACGTATAAACATAGAAAATGTCCTAAAATAATTATAGGTGCAGTTCAATTTATAATTACATGTTCCAGTGCCTTGGAAAGAGAAAGCTACGATACGTATTCGAATTTCGGCCGGGTTCGTTACATTCATTTCGGAAAAGGTATAGAGGAGGCACGGTGGAGTAATGGATAGCGGCTTGGATTGAGGAATCGAAGAGCCGAGTTCGAATTCCAGTCGAATCCATTACATTCACTTACGAAAATAATTCGCTAATACCCTTGGAAAAGGTGTGAATCCTCTTTCTTCTCCCTCCAGCTATGGGTAAATAGCAGGACAGACTGGGTTCTATAACCTTGGATGGCAACTGGTCTAGGAGAAGGAAAACTCTGAATTCAAACCTGCTCTTAGAGGAGGGGGAATGGAGTCTCTCTGAGCCTTGGTTGGCAATCCATTTAGTGATGGTGTCACGATAAAAAAACACCTTTGATAGCCCTAGCGAAGCATCAAGAATTCAGCTATTTGACAAGATGACGAACTACACCAATCAAAGTATTAGCTATGACAGATAAGGAATACTGGAAAGGCCGCAAGATGATGATAGATCAATCAATCTCTTCTTCCTCGGCTTAGTGTTGACTAGCTGGGGAGACAGGGTTGTTTAGGCGTGGATGGCTCTCCAATTCTTCAGTCCTCAGTCAGTCAGTTATGTGCCATGCGTGATACACGCTTACGCGATCATGTATCGTTCGATACATGACTGACGAGGCAGATTTTTTTCCCAAAGTAAATTGTCATTTCTTTCTGCGGTAGACCAGTTGCCATCCAAGGCTATAGAACCCGGTCAATCTTGCTATTTACTCATAGCTGGGGGAGGGGGAGAAAAAGAGGATTCATGCTTTTCCCGAGTATTAGCATTTAAGTGAATTTCAGTCAGTTATATGCCATGCATGACACACGCTTAAGCGATCATGTATTGTTCGATACATGACTGACGAGGCAGATTTTTTTTCCCAAAGTAGGTTGTCATTTCTTTCTGCGGTAGACCAGTTGCCATCCAAGGCTTGGTGTTGACTAGCTTAGGAGACAGGGTTGTTTAGGCGTGGTTGGCTACCAATCTACGCACATTTTCTTATAAAATAAGAAATAAACAACAAAAAAAAATGTTATAAGAAAATAAAGCTGGTAAATCAGCCAAAAGTAATTGGCGAATTGTTTTGAATCTTTCTGTCGGCAATTTAGATAAGAAAAAAAGAAAAGAAAAACTTGACAGAACGCCATTTCGCTAACTTCTTAATATCAAGCAAGTTGATTCCTTTCAAATTCTGGGAAAGAAAAGCTTGATCGTTTTGGATAAGAATTTTTGCAGATAAACTTCAAGCGATAAGAAAAGAACATTTTGTTGACATTCTTTTACTTTTAAATTTCCTTTTTTTTCCGTTTGAATAACAAAAACAAACACGTAAAAACAATTGTCCAAAAATATATTCTGTATTCGTCAAAGAACATGCGAATAATTGATTTGTTTTTTACGGCTTATCAACTTCTCGCAGGTTATTTAAATCACCATAACATGCCGTAATGGTTTTCTAAGAACAACCCAATTGAAAATTGGTATGCAGCCCTAGCAAGGCGTATATTATGAAGCCACTGAAAATGTGGAGGCCACACTTGCTGACTAAGGATCTCCACTGGGGTATTAGCAGGCAGTGACTTACGTGTTAAGGAACTAAGCGATGGGAAAAGCGGGAAAATAATAAGATTATTAACATAGATGGCAGAGGTCAGATTCTCTCGTACAATCACCGGAGTTAAGCATCGTCGAGTCTGGTCAGTACTTAGATGGGTGACCGCTTGGGAATACCAGGAGCTGTAAATTTGGATGTGTTGAAGATGTCATAGCTTATGACCACATCACGTTGAAAGGCCTATTCTCGTACAATCACCGAAGTTAAGCAACGTCGAGCCTTGTCAGTACTTAGATGGGTGACCGCTTGGGAATACCAGGAGCTGTAAATTTGGATGTGTTGAAGATGTCATAGCTTATGACCGCATCACGTTGAAAGGCCTGTTCTCGTACAATCACCGAAGTTAAGCAACGTCGAGCCTTGTCAGTACTTAGATGGGTGACCGCTTGGGAATACCAGGAGCTGTAAATTTGGATGTGTTGAAGATGTCATAGCTTATGACCGCATCACGTTGAAAGGCCTATTCTCGTACAATCACCGAAGTTAAGCAACGTCGAGCCTTGTCAGTACTTAGATGGGTGACCGCTTGGGAATACCAGGAGCTGTAAATTTGGATGTGTTGAAGATGTCATGGCTTATGACCGCATCACGTTGAAAGGCCGGTTCTCGTACAATCACCGAAGTTAAGCAACGTCGAGTCTGGTCAGTACCTAGATGGGTGACCGCTTGGGATTACCAGTTCCTCTAAGCTTGTATGTGCGTGTGGTGTAAAGGTTAATATCTCCGAATTAGAAACACTATTTACATTATTCGCACTATTGTCCTCATCTTTGTCGCCATATTTATTACAACGTTTCGGCCGTTGTACGCTACGGCCTTCTTCAGGTGGTTGGCATGTCGAACTGAACGATGTTTAATGTCAGTTATCAGTTATCTCCTGTTAATTCCCCTCTCCAAGTTCTTGGGTCCTGTCACTGAATCTAACCTACGCCATTGTCCACTGTGCCATGTGTCCTTGAGGATAAGTGTGTATGAATTTCTGGGTATTATAAACCTATTGTTTTCAGCAACCTTTTTTTTTACCAGCGCTCGTATTGCAATTTTAGCTGTTATTATTACATATTTTTACCAGACCTCATATGGCAAATTTAGTTGTGATTATCGCGTTTCTCTGACACTCCTTATTACTTGTTCCCATATTGTATTCATTGTATTCATTTCTATGCTTGGTCGGCTCAGGAGATTTTTTCTCTCCATATGTGGTCAGCCACGCCTGATTTTTCCACTTCCCAATTGGTACAGTTTGGTGTTCCTCAAGCCTTACCTTAAGGGGGCGGCCTGTCTCCCCTTTAAAAGCTGGACGACACTTCGACAAAGATGAGGACAATAGTCCGAATAATCTAAATAGTGTACATAATACCTCATCACAGAAATATAGACAGATACTGAAAGGCAGAAACGTTGTAATAAATATGGCGACAAAGATGAGGACAATAGTCCGAATAATGTAAATAGTGTACATAATACCTCATCTCAGAAATATAGACAGATACTGAAAGGCGGAAACGTTGTAATAAATATGGCGACAAAGATGAGGACAATAGTCCGAATAATGTAAATAGTGTACATAATATCTCATCTCAGAAATATAGACAGATACTGAAAGGCCGAAACGTTGTAATAAATATGGCGACAAAGATCAGGCTAATAGTCCGAATAATGTAAATAGTGTACATAATATCTCATCTCAGAAATATAGACAGATCTCGAAACGTTGTAATAAATATGGCGACAAAGATCAGCTAATAGTCCGAATAATGTAAATAGTGTACATAATACCTCATCTCAGAAATATAGGCAGATTCGGAATTACACATCGGAGACCCCGGGTTACAATTCCAGCTGGGTTCGTTTTATTAAATTACACGCAAATACGCTTGGGGAAAGGATAAATCTACTTCTTTCTCTCCAGTTATGATTTGCTTTATTTTACGCTATATCAACCTCAATGGGTTATTTAATACCAACAAGATTTTTATTGCTGGCAATTTTTTTTCTAAAAAACTATTGCTGGAAATATATTTTTTCCCCAAAATGTATTGCGGGCAATACTTTTCTTTTTCGAAAATGTATTGCGGGCAATACTTTTCTTTTTCGAAAATGTATTGCGGGCAATACTTTTCTTTTTCAATAATGTATTGCGGGCAATATTTTTCTTTTTCGATAATGTATTGCGGGCAATACTTTTCTTTTTCGAATATGTATTGCGGGCAATACTTTTCTTTTCGAAAATGTATTGCGGGCAATACTTTTCTTTTTCGAAAATGTATTGCGGGCAATACTTTTCTTTTTCGAAAATGTATTGCGGGCAATATTTTTCTTTTTCGAAAATGTATAGCGGGCAATACTTTTCTTTTTCGATAATGTATTGCGGGCAATACTTTTCTTTTTCGAATATGTATTGCGGGCAATACTTTTCTTTTCGAAAATGTATTGCGGGCAATACTTTTCTTTTTCGAACATGTATTGCGGGCAATACTTTTCTTTTTCGAAAATGTATTGCGGGCAATACTTTTCTTTTTCGAATATGTATTGCGGGGAATACTTTTCTTTTCGAAATTATATTGTGGGCAATATTTTTCTTTTCCGAAAATGTATTGCGGGCAATACTTTTCTTTTTCAAAAATGTATTGCGGGCAATACTTTTCTCTTTCGAAAATGTATTGCGGGCAATACTTTTCTTTTTCAAAAATGTACTGCTGGTAATAATTTTTCCAAAAAAGTATTTCTGCTATTAAAACCTATTTTATATTTTCATAGAGTTTTGACCACTTTTTTGGGATTAACTATTTACTCATAGCTGGGATCCTGACAAATGCTACCACTCCAGGTTAGAGTGGACCTGGGAACATCGGCAATTAGAAAGTGGTCCAACGCTCCTCAACCTCCTGATCAGAGTCCTTGCTGTCGGACGTAGTTTATCGTCTTACCCAGGATGCTCAAGCTATAGGTTAATTAACAGGGGCACCCCGAGGCGGTGTAATGGTTAGCAAGCTTTTCTCGCTGGATCAATTATGACTGAGTAGTGTGTTCGATCCTCGCTGGGTGACCCCCTACTTTCGGCCGTGTGCCACATCTAAGCTACGCTTGGGAAATCACTATCGGTTAATTAACAGGAATTGTAACAGTAAATCATTACTATATCAAAACTTTTCTTGCAATCTAGAAATATTTTCCGGCTTTAAATAATGAACGAACGGTTTATAAGCCGTAGAAAATAAATCAATTATTCGTATGTTCTTTGACGAACATAGAATACATTTCCTTCGGTGTTTTGGTGTTTTTTAAACGAAAAAAAAAGGAAATTTAAATGCACAATAATAATGCCATTAATTTTTTTTTTGTTATCGTTTGAAGATATATCTACAAAATACTTATCCAAAACGATCAGGCATTTTCTTTGCCAGGATTTGAAAGGAATCAACTTGCTTGATATTAAGAATTTGCCGAAATGGCGTTCTGTCAAGTTTTTATTTTCTTTTTTTCTTATCTAAATTGCCGACAGAATGATTTAAAACAATTCGCCAATTACTTTTGGCTGATTTACTAGATTTATTTATTTTTTAATATATTTTCTTCTTTTTTTTATGAATTTCTTATTTTATAATAAAAAGTGCGGAGATATCATAGCCAAAAACTAAAACCCACAACCCCACCAAAAAAACTAAAAAGAAAGAAAAAAAAGAAGCTTTTCTCACGTTGATAGGCGAAAAGCTAGAATGGTGAGTTTTTGGCGGCCAGGGTGACGAGATACGTCAAGTAATTAAGCCGTAAAGCAAAGGCTACGTGTAGAAAGACAAATTCGAAATGTTTACGAGAAAAAAAAAACTATTCGAAGAGAAACCTAAAAGATATGTCTCTTTTCTTATGAAGCGAGATAAATCCTGGCGAGTTATCTTTACCCAACGCGGAAATCTGATTAAAGATTTTATTTTAGTCATTCGTGCCACTGTGCAGGACATCGCTAGCGAGTAAAACAAGACTACTGGTCTGGACCCCTTGCCATAGAGCAGGACGAATTGATCGTCTAGCAACCCATTTACATCGACTGTCTTATGACACGAATTGACGATCTTGAGTGAATAGACAATTGAATCGGAGGGATATCAAACAACAAACGTTGCTAAAAGCTGCAAGAGATAAGGAAACTAAAAAGAAAAAAAAATAGCTTTTCTCGTGTTGATAGGCGAAAAGCTAGAACGGTGAGCTATTAGCGGCCAGGGTGACGAGGTATGTCAAGTAATTAAGCCGTAAAATTTCATTAATGAAAAACTGTTTCTGGTAATATATTTTTCCCCAAAATATATTGCTGGCAATATTTTTCTTTTTCAAAAATGCACTGCTGGTAATTTTTCCAAAAAAAGAATTTCTGCTATTAAAACCTATTTCATATTTTCATAATGATTTGACCCCTTTTGTGGGATTATCTATTTATTCATAGCCGGGACAATTACTTTTCATTATAAATGAACATAAAAGAAGATGCCTGAATATATCTAATAGGATAGATTCGATTATATCACGAAGATTGTTCATGGCTAAGGTAAACTTTACCCGAGTTAAGAAGCTTGAGTGAATGGATGATGGAATCGGCGGCTGGAGGCTTGGCAAAAAAAAAAAAAAAATCAAATCAAGAGCTGCAAAAGATAGGAAGCTGTGGAGAGTCATGATCGGTCATGAAAGAAAATACCTGAATATATGAAATAGGATAGATTTGATCATATAACGAGGATTGTTCGTGGTTAGGCAAACTTTACTCAAGACGAGTTGACGAGCTTGAGTCAATGGATAACGGAACCGGCAACCTCAGGGATGGCAAAAACAAACGTTAATAAGAGTTGCAAGACATAGGAAACTGTGGAAAGCCATGATCACTTGCGTCCTGAATGGATGATGGAACCGGCTTCTTCTCCTTTCCCGTGGGAAAGCAAGTTGTTTTGGGCCTCCACCTTAAAACTATAAGACTCTCAAATAATATTTTGCGTCTTTGTGGATAATATAGCGGCGTGTGATTTATTTCAGCACCAATCAGAGGGCTTCACTCCAAATCCCTAGTCACAATCTGGATTCAGTCTCGGTGTATAAAAGAAAAGAATTCAATTGAATCGAAGGGTCGAAAAGACGATAT